GAAAAGTTCAAAATAACAGTTTACTAAACAGCAAGTCTTCACACGTCTTTTTGACACCACTTTTAAAAAAAAAAAAAAAAAAAAAAAAGAGAAAAGCAGCAGCAATGTCTGTTTCAGTATTTTTAAACATTATTCCCAAACCTCCAAACCGGATGAAATTCAATCTGAGCAGCCTCAAAAAGGAGACTGTGCTCTGCAATCTTCCTAGCCTGTCCCACTCCATATTTTCCACCACATCACGCATTGACAATTCTGCAGCCTTTGGGACAAACAAAAGAATTCTTCATGTATAAAACCATTTCCACATTCATTAGGTTGGTCCACTCCCAGACACAATTTTGAATGCTTGTTGGGAAAGATGTAAGTCTTACGTTGAAGAGTTCATCACAATTCATTTAAAAGGGAGAGAAAGATTTCCTTGGTTTTAACAATTCTAAACGTGGGGGTTGATTTTGCAATCTTGGTTTCCTTTGGCTGTGTTTTGTGTGAATAGCTCTCCCTATGCTTAAACAAACAAAAAGCAGACCTCAAAAATTCCCAGGAATTTAATCTTAACTTTTCATCCCTTGACCCACAGCATCTCCGCCAATTAGTCCAGTTATGGGCTTCCAAACTTTGGAACGGGTAACAGGAGAAGGATGAAGGAAAGTGCTGTTGCTTGAACTACCGGAGTGCAGTGAAGCCCTGTCTCAGCCAGATGGCTGAGAACTGAGACAGCAAGGCCAAAAATGACAAAGTTTGAGAAGAGGCTTAGCACATCCCAGAGTGTAACTGTGTATTAAAAGAATCAACCCTCAAGACCAACAGTTTCAGTTTCAACAAGGAGTTGTTTTTTCCAATCTAGTTCCTCCTTACCCATTTAAAAAAATCAGAGAATAGATCTTTTAACATATCTAAATGGCATGAGAACTGTGAGCATGCGGACGCGGTTTAGCTGCACAGGAATAAAAAAATGGAGAAGCCTAAAGCCTCTTCCCTACTTTCCTATGAAGTAACAGCTTCAGAAATCAGGCTTCCAAGCAGACTCAGAAAATATGTCTGAACCAATATGTTCCATTCAGGAAGGCATTCAGGCACCACAAATTCATGAACTAAAAGGTCTGTCAGTCACCAATTTAGTACAGTGATTTACTCTTACATGTTGCAATGGCATTATAAGCCACACACCACTTTGCTTTGAAAGAAAACAAGAGCAGCATTTTTCAAATTGAGTTTAAATTTATACATTGATTCCATAGTGTCTCAGGCTGCTTTCTCTAACTCACTTCAAGATTTTGAACCGTAGAATTTAAAGACATGCAACTGAAATAAAAGTTAATACAATAAAACCAGTTAAGTGTTTCTTTCTACTGTCAGTCAATTCAATTTTCACAGATAGGAAACAGAAATAATTCAAATAGTCATTCACCCAGTCTTCTTTTCTTGGTTTTGACATACTTTGTTTTGCATTCTTTTAAATGCATCACACTTTAAAGTGTTTAGGGATCATATTCCCTGGCATATAAAGATTCTTCAGTATAGATTTATACAGAGGGGACTGCAGCAGCTTGAACGATGGAAGCTAATAACATCAACACAGCATGCATATGATTTTATGCACAGAAACTTGGCAAGAGTAAGAGTGTTTTTAGTGGAATGTGGCTATGCTAATACTCCCTCCTGTGAATAGCTCCTTTTTACTGTATAATCAAGATCTCCATGCAGTGATCTGAGATGCCTTTTCACAGAGCTACTTTCAAAAATGAAATTATCTTCATTATTATTAATTTTATGAAAATAAATTGCCTTGGAGTTTAGTGCTAATTACTGTCCCTGTCATATAGTCCAATAAGGGGACGTGCAGGATTTTATGCAACAGAACCTCAAAGATACAGGCTACAACCTTGCAAAGTAATAAAATGACTTCTAATAAGCATAACAGAAACCTTGAGCTAAAATGTCTCTAGTCACAATTACCTCCCAACAGAACACAATACAGAGCGTATTTCCCCTTTTATATTAAACTCCAATACTACTACTTTATGTTCAGAAAAAACTTCAGAATAAATATTACCCTTTTCCTACTGTATTTTACAAGTTGTCAACAGGCATACATGGCTGACAAGGACTCCACATCTGCATTTTGGGATGTCTGGGGGTTTTACTTCCTTGTTTTGAAAATAAGACAATTTATTGAAATACTATTGAAAATACATACTAAAAAGCACATACGAAAATCCATTAAGTCTGAGAAGTTTCTGCCCTGAGTTTGCCCATAGATGAAGGGTTCAGAACACCAAAAAAACCTAACCTTGATTCCTGTTATCACTAAAGAGCAGGCCAGATAAGTTCTTGGATCAAATTTAAGATACTTCAGTCTAAAATCACCTGACAAGTGCTCAGCCAGGAGCTTAGGCTGAGCTTACTGTCTAAGACAGTGTTGTCTTACATGTCACAACTTGATGGCAGCAATATATGAAAGAGGAGCTCTGCCACAGCCTTGAATACCCACTCCTCGGAACGGCCTTTTCAGGTTTCACCTACACAACTGAGTCCCAGGGCGCTCTGGGCAGTAACCTGAAGAGATCTGTTTGTGACACTGAAAACCACACAGTGACTCAAGAAAAACTGTAATACTAATACTGTAAAACTGTTATACTAATAACACTTTATCTCCTCAAAAACTACCAATTTTGAGAATTACTGGTTTTGTTTTCTGACCTGAAAATTCATGAGAGAAAGAAGCCAGAAACATCTGCAAAAATACCAAACCCCGCAAAATCTTAATTCATGCTGGTTCATTCAAAGAGAAGTACCACAAAGCTGTCTGAAGAGGTGAATGTGGAAACTCCTGCTGCTTTTACTGCCTTTCTATAAACTACAGTCAGCAGAACTAAACAATATAATACAACATTTCCTACATAAAAATACCTTAATAACTGCTAGGTAAGGGAAATAAAAGTTAAAAGGAAGAAACAGTTCTCTCCATTCTCTCTGTTCAACCAGGGACGTCTTAGATGAAGCTGTTCAATAAATCGCAGGGCTTGCTTAGGTAAAACAATTATGAGGAAAGAAAGTTAGTAAGAAATCACTGTGTGGGTACTGATAGAAGTTTTACTTTAATTTAAAACGCAGGCAAACACAGCACAAATCACCAACTATATGAAAATAGTTACCTCTTAGAGTAAACAGTATTGCAAGCAGGTATGTAACACCGTACAGCCCCTGAGACTTTGGGTTGAAAGCAAGTAACACGTCTATCTCTAGAAACACTACCCTCCTAATTCTTTAGGTTTTTAAACATAAAGGGTTTATTTAAGATACTGTATGCCGATAACAATTCGGTTTTATGAAAAACCCACCCTGTTTAAAGTGGGTTTAGAGATATATAATTAAATAAATATACTGAACACTTACTTTTCTCTCAAGTTGAGAAAACAAATGTGAAGCTTCATTAGATACGAAGTATCAAGCAAAATAACATAAACATCACATCCATCACAACCTCATTTGCTTAATTAAATTCAGATACTCAGCTGAGTAATTTTAATTAGTAGTACTGGACATGTTTTTAAGTCATCTGGAAGCAGGAGTTTTCAATAATTTATCCTTCTTTTCTTGGAACTCAGAAATATATTTCATTATTTGATTGTAAATGGCTATGCCTATAAATTTTTTCCATGAACCATGAATTATTTTAAGTTGGTTCATGATTTATG